AGAACTGGGGTACAGGCCAGAGGTGCAGGGACAGTGAGAGGATTCACCAGAGACAGAGTGGGGAGCAGAACAGGCCGATCAAGACACTGCTGAGGGGAGCAGCAGGCGGGCAGGTCAGGAGAGGTCGGCTGCACCATGTGGATTACCTCTAGGGTGGGGGATCGAACTCATGCCGAAGTGGCTTTAGCTTCTTAGTGCTGTGCTTCAACCCGCTGCGCCACCAGGGAGGGCTAAATTTTGCTTTTTTAAAACAATATGTGTACAGGGTAAAAATTCAATCAGAAGGGAACAAAGTAAAAAGAAATCAAGCTGCCCTCTCTGCTATGCCCCAAAGCCTACCTATTTGTTAACAGATAAGTTTGTTAATAGCCTATTTCTGACATACTGCCTCAGAAATGCAAATATGTTCAAATATGTAAACCCTTGTCTTTATAGCTACACATATGCTATATATATAATTATATGTATTAATGAGATTGTACTCCATGAGACAGGAAAAATCAGCTACTTTATAAAAAATATTGTCATGAGTCTTTTATCAAAAGTTTTTTAGACATGGGAAAGATTATATTATCTTTATATTTTTACACGTATAGTTTGGAGACTTGTTTTTCATGGTCATTCAAAACCCTACATAACCGGCAGCTCTCCTGTCTGCTTGTGTCTGTGCTGTGTCTATTCCCAGTAAACCTCACCTTTTTGGGGGGAGGTGCAGGGCGGGGAGACCTGCCTAGCTAATAAGTATGCTACAGAATTGTGTATCTGCATGAAATTACAGATGCCTTATGCCAAGCAATTTTCAATTGGTAAATGAAATTGTGTAAGTGTTTTCCACATGTTCTTATTCCTAACATGTAGTCTAAAGCTATTTGATTAAAGTTGTGTAACCGACATCAGAGTCTCCACCATGAAGTAATTGGAGATGAGATGAAGAATAAAACAAAATTAGGGAAGGGAAGGGAAGAGTGGGAGGAGGACTGAACAGAAGCTGACAGAAGCTGACAGCGAAAGATGTAGGAGAAAAGAGAGTAACCCAGATGAGTAGGGAAAAGAAACAAAGACTATAGAAGAAGCATAAAAAGGCCAGACAAAGTGAATCTCACAGAGGGTCCCTTTGGCAAGAAAGGAGTACCTTTTGAAAATGTAAGCCAAGTAAAACCAATGAAATGAAATTAGTAGCTACTTTTCATTTCTGCGGTTTGGAACACTGAGCTTTAGCTTCAGTGTTTCACCTTAGAGGAAGTGTATAGTTAAGGAGCATCTGGGACACCCTAAATGTGAAGTCACCAGGACAGCAGGGTGGCCGATGATTACTGTCCACATTAGATCACTGCTTACCATGTATTTCAGGAATATGAAAATGCAACCAAAGTGGAAAACTGCAATCCTGAAGTCTGGGTGAACCTGGCCTGCACCTACTTTTTCCTTGGAATGTATAAACAAGCCGAAGCAGCTGGCTTGAAAGGTAAAATGGACCCTTTTACTATTCAGTACCATCATTAATGTTGAGTCATTTTGGAGATTTTAAAAGTTATTTAATCCCTTCCCCTATTGAGGAAAAATCGTGCTATTCGAAAGTTGTTTAATTAGAAAGATTAAAAAATATCTTTACTCTTCAAAAAAGATTGGATTTGAGCAACTTTATGACTACAGTTGGTCTTGGTGCTGTCCAAACCCCCACGTTCCCATCCACCAGCCTCTCCAGAAGCCAAAAAGTTGAAGGATGAGAAGACAAAGGCCAAGTGCCCTGTGTAGGCCCATCATGGGCGGATACTCGGCTGTGGTAGAAGTTGAGTCAGTTCTTCAAGCTTACGTGGCTGTAG